ATTCCCTCATGTTGGAGGCAATATTTTTTGCATTAGGAAATTATCTTTTTTATTTCCCCCTGAAATTCCGAGGATATTTTAATACTGGCAGCTCAGGACCTCCAGCATCCATCGTTCAGTCTGAATTCCCCAGTGATTCCAAGGTTTTTATTAGATATTATGGATGTGGCTGCTTAAAGAAGCAGAGTGTGTCACGTCCCTGCTGCAGACCCTTTTTGCCTTATGCTTTATTTCCTGGGATATTGATCCAGAAACCCTCTGGATCATTTATTTCCATGTTGCTAATGACTCAGAACCAGACAGTGCTTGGGAGAAGGAGATAATCTGCTCCCAAACCAGTCCCAGTGGGATGACAATCAGGACTGGCAGATCAAGACCTCCAAGCATGAGTGGAAATCAAATGGAGAGAGTGGTTATAAACATAGGGCTGAAGTATTCCAGCCAGGAAAAATCACTGTCACCCCACAGCATTTAGAGTGGGATTGTGGTGTGTGTTTAATGGTTGGACTCTTGGATTTTAGAGGTGTATGGAGAGGGACTTTTTGCAAGAGCATGAAGTGACAGGACAAGGAGGAATGGCTTCCCACTGAAGGACAGCATATTTAGATTGGATAGAAGGAAGAAATTCTTCCCTGGGAGGGTAGTGAGGCCCTGGCACAGGTTGCCTGGAGAAGCTGTGGCTGCTCCATCCCTGGGAGTGTCCAAGGCCAGGTTAGACAGGGCTTGGAGCAACCTGGGCTACTGGAAGGTGTCCCTGCCCATGGCAGGGGGTGGAACTGGGTGATCTTTAGGGTCTCTTCCAACCTAAACCACTCTAGGATTCTATTCAGCAATTCTACCTTGTTCCAGTGCTTTTTGTATCTGCATTTACTTTTCTTTGCATTCTGTCATTTCCTAATTCTATGGTTTTTTTGGAGTGAGTGTGGACAGGTGCCATCATTCCTCCTCCTTTCTTTTACCAGCCTGACGTGTTCCTGGCTTGGTTGGCCACAGTGTTCCCAGGAGCTTTTCCCTTTACTCCCTTTGGAGCTCTACAACCCCACCACAGATGGCCTCACCTTTGGAAAATACAAACCTCCCTACACCACCTGAACAACGTGGTATCAAATTCCACATTTAGCTGCCTTTTCCCCTTCTTTCCCTGGGAAACAGGGGTGATGTTTTAAAGACCAGTTGGGTGTGCTTCCCCTTCAGAATCACTTGGGCATCCCCAGGAGCTGCTGGCAGTTTGGGAGGGCCTGCAAAGCACTGCTGCCAGTGCCAAAAACATCCTCCCCCATAGATGGTGGCCCACCAAGATGTCTTCAAATGTCCCCTCACAGCTGGGCTCAGGGTGGCCACCATGACATCCCTCCTCCTCCTCTCCCCATGCTCAGTTGTGCTTCACAGGATCAAATTCCCCCCCCCCCAAAAAAAAAAAGCTGCCTGCCTTCCTGGGATGCTGGAAATGTATTTCTGGGCAGCTGGACCTTTAGAGATACATCGTGCCGCTCTCACGCTGAGGATGCAGCAGCAGCGTGGATTCCTCCAGCTCATCCCTTGCTCTGTGGCAGGTATTTTTCCTTCTTAAGCACAGCCAAACTTCCCAGCAGGATTTCTGTGGAGGCTGGGTCTCCCCAGTGCCCTGCACTTGTCTTTCTGAACCATTTTGTACATCAAAACCAGTTGCCTGCCTTCATCCCAATCCCTCCCTGCATCCCCATCCCTCCCTGAGCTGCTCCTTGGGCTGGGCCCCTCTTCAGCTGGGATTCTCAGTGGGGTGGGACCCACTGGAAATCTGTGCCTTTCCACCAGCTTTTTCTTCTGCAAGACACACCAGGAACAGGCAGGAACTAATTTTATTCTCTGTATTTTGCATCATTCCCTCTGCCCAATCCTATTTTTTCTTCCCCCATCCACGCTCAGTGACTTATCATAAGCTGATTTGCTTCTCATTGTATTTTTTCATCATTATTCTTTTATCCCAAACTTCGTCCCGCTCATCCCCTCATCCACATCTGCACCAGGTATTTAAAGAAACAATTTGTCAGCCCTACCTAACGCAGCCTGTACCTCTTGGGGAAAAGTCTCTGGAATTAGGCAAATGTACTGGAGAAATCCAGCAGCCCAGTTCAAGACCTGACATGGCAGCATCGTTGGAAGTAAATTTGGCACTCACTGGTGGCAGGAGCGTCTTCCAGAGGGAAAAGCCTGCTGGTACTCAGGGTGTGAAATATAATCTGGAATTTCCTCTCAGCCTCCTGCACATCAGCAGCACCAAGGAAATATGAACTGGTCTGGAAAGGACTCCCCAGGGCAGTGAAAACTGCAGCTGATTGGGGCATGAGTTTTTATTTTAAACTAAATCTTGACCTTTGGATAAAGTCTGGGAAGATAAGGTTTATTTGGGGATAGGCTCAGGGACACCAATGTGGCTGTGTCGTGGTTGACCACCACCCCATGATCACCCCAGCATATGTAATTGTCCATCCAGCCCCTTCATCTGGTGTTCCCACAATCGTAGAGTCATGGAATCATGGAATGGTTTGGGTTGGAAGGGACTCATCTCATTCCACCCACTGCCATGGGCAGGGACACCTTCCACTAGCCCAGGTTGCTTCAGGTCCAGTCCAGCCTGGCCTTGGACACTTCCAGTCTGCTTTGTTTGGCTTCCAAGATGGCTTTTAGCCATTTTTGGAGCCTCCTGAAGCCCATCTTAAGCCATTTAAGAACCAAAATGGCCCTTTCTGATCAAACCCTCCACTCCAGCCATAGGACACCATGACAACCTATGGACACACCACAGAACCTAAATCAGGTCATGAACTGAAGATGTAACACGTGGCTTCATTTTTAGTGTAGGACCTGCCCATTCATCAGACACAAAGGTGCTGTTTCCAAAATAACACTCATTTTAAAGCCATGCACCATCCTGATAGTGCTTGTCACTAATACATCCCATTCTCCCTTTCCTCAGCAGATTATTAGGAATTTCTTTTTCACCAAGTCCTATTAAACATGGTGTTATTTTAAACACCTGTTTTATGAGGAGCAGCATCCCACGTTGGTCAGAGGGGTATCACACCTCGGTGCCTGCACAGGTGTCTGCCTCTGATCCCTACATCCCATGAAATCCCCCCAAAGGAATAGCTGGGCAATAATTAGTGGGCTAATTAACATGTAAAATGACTGTAACTGTCTAAAACTACTGAGAAAGCAACAGAAGGGGACTGGAATTCCTTTTTTTCCCTGCCAAAATTTTTATATGCATTTAAGCAACTTTCAGTTAGCGTGTTTTTCTTGGAAAGTTTGGGGGTTTCCACCCAAATTCTCCCTCTGTGAAAAAAAAAAAAAAAAGGAGTTCGCTGTTGTCAAAAAATGCAGTGTCTGAAGTGCAGGATTTTTAAGGAAGAAAACAACAACAACCCCACAATGTATAATGAGTACAGCTCCTGCCATTCACAAAGGACTCAGCGTAGTCTGAAAAGCCATTTTCAACTGGAAAAAAATGCTTCAGTGGGAAAATTTCCACCCACTCTGGTTGCATCTTTTCCCTACAGCTCCAAGAGAGAGGAAGGTTTTCTTCCAGAGGAGGGTGGTGATGTGTTTCCATGGATGGACAAGAAAATGCATCGACAGAGAAAAAAAAAACAACTGAGTGGGAAGACACAGCCTGAAACTTCCTACTGGGTGGGCAGTGAGGCAGGGACTGAGCACAGCCAGCCCTTCCAGGGGGGATGCACAGCCTAAATCCCGTGGGTTTCCATTGTACAGTTTATTTTTTTCCTTGGAGTTCTGGCCGAGCTGGGTCTGGAATCCAAGTCTTGGCTCAAAACAAGCGCTCCAGTAACGCTGCTGGCGATGGCAGGATGCAAATCTGAGCCGGTGTGTGATTTTTGGGAAGAGCTGTGTTTTCATACATCACACAGATTTTGCTTTATAAGCACTTGTGAGCATCTTTTTAATTATTCTCGAACAGAGCATCCCCTTTAATACCTTGTGTACTAATACAGGGGTGTATTAACACGAATAGATAGGTGTGTCAGGCACAGGGACCTGCACAGACACCCCTGCAAATATTGGGCACGTTTTGCGCCAAGGGGATGCACCACCGGACCAGGACCCCTCGTGCTCCAGAGGCACGAAATGCCACTGCCTGGGGAGGATTCCACATCTCCAGCGATCCCGCGGGGAAAAAAAAAAAATATCTGCGGACCAGACCGATGAGGGCCTCCCGGTGGACTGGGAGGACCCCGCTGGGGATGCTGTGTTGGAAGGGAGGGGACCGAGGTGCGCCGCAGCCCCGCTGGATGGGGATAGAGCCCGGACCGCTGCCATAAATCCCGAGCGCTGCCATCCCCCCCGGAGCGACAGCACGGCCTTTTCATGAATAAATAATCCGTGTTGCAGTTGCGGTGTGCTGGACCCGCTGGAGCAGAGTCTGCCCGGAGACCTGGCGGTGGCGGAACGAGGCGTTTGGCCCTTTCCCGGTGTCCACCCACCCACCTGCCAACGGGGCCCCCCGGCTCTGGCGGGGGATGCTGGCCCCTCGTCGCACCCGAGGAGCAGCGGGGGAGCGGCGGGAGCGGGGAGGGGGAGAGACGAAGGGATAAATAAAAATCCGGGAGCATCCCGCGAGTCTGCGGGGGGCTGCGGCCCTGCTGGGGTGGGAGGCGAAGGCGACGCAGTTCCTGTCTCTTTAAATCCACCCTGAGCCCGGCGCCGGGAGCTGAGGCAGAGCAGAAAGCCCAGGATCCTGCTCATTAATAAGCGGGATTTATCCCCGTAGGGAGCCGGGAAGGAGCGGTGGGGGGAGGCCGCGGGGCGAGCCGAGGCCCCTTTGCACCCCCGCAGCCCCTCGCCCCGGTATCCAGCCTCGCCGCGAGCATCCTCCGGCCGGGATGCGGGATCCGCCGGGCGCGGCGAGCGGGTCCCCCCGGGAGTGAGGTTTGCGGCGGGGGAGCGGCGCGGGGGAGGCGGCCGGGGGAGGGTGTGCGGGGCGCGGGGCGTGCGCGGTGCGGGAGCGGCCGGGGAGCCGTGCGGGAGGGCGGCGGAGGAGGCACCGCATTGCTGCTGCTGCTGCTGCCGCTGCCGAGCCCCGCGATGCCGCCGCGCCCGCCGCTGCCCCCGGCCCTGCGCCCCAGCCAGCCCGGCCGGCGGCGGGGGGCTCCGCGGGGGCTCTGAGCATCTCCCCCCCGGGGCTGCCCAGCGCTCGGTTTTTCTTTTTTTTTTTTTTTTTTAAATTTTTTTTTTATTTTTTTAAATTTTTTTATTGCCTTCTCTTGGCATTTGGCCTCTTTTTTTTTTTTTTTTCCTTTCCTCCTTTTCCCCCACCCCCGTTCCCTGCCTTGGATGGTTTTTAGGTGGAGTCGTTTGCACCAAAACCCAATAGCTGCTGCTGTTCTTGCTGCTATTTTTTTTTTTTTTTTTTTTAATGATCCTGTTTCCACAGCAGGGGAAGAGAGAACTGATCCTCAACATACTCCCAGAGAATGAATAATCACAAGAAACTGGCTTAAGCAGCTCCCTGGATCTGGTGCATGATTTCGATTGAGTTTGATTTGATTTAATTTTTTTATTTTTGTTTATATTTTTTTCCCCAAGTCATCGTTCGCGTTTTATTTTCTGCATTTCTTCCTTTTTTTTTTTTTTTTTTTTTTTCACCTTTTGGGAGATTTGCAAACCGAATTACATGCATGTCCAGTGGGGGAAGGTTTAATTTTGACGATGGAGGGTCGTACTGTGGAGGCTGGGAGGACGGAAAGGCTCATGGCCATGGAATCTGTACCGGCCCGAAGGGTCAAGGTGAATATTCGGGCTCCTGGAGTCACGGCTTTGAGGTGCTGGGGGTCTACACTTGGCCCAGTGGCAACACTTACCAGGGCACCTGGGCGCAGGGCAAGCGCCATGGCATTGGCATGGAGAGCAAAGGGAAGTGGGTGTACAAAGGAGAGTGGACCCATGGATTTAAGGGACGGTACGGGGTCCGAGAATGCACTGGAAACGGGGCCAAGTACGAAGGCACCTGGAGCAATGGATTACAGGATGGCTACGGGACAGAGACCTACTCGGATGGAGGTAGGTGCCCGTTGATCCCTTCCTGGGGTGGTGATGGGGTACAAACCTCCAAGCAGGGACCCTGGGTTTAGGTTGGAGTCTGGGAGTTTGCAACCTGCTGGCTTGGAGCGAGGGATGCTCCCACCCTGCAGGAAACAAGGAACCAGCCCAGCGTGGCACCAGCCCAGCTCTTTGCCACAGGTAGCCCCATATGTCCAGCGGGTCTCTGGGCAGCGGGTCCTCCTCCCTTCCTGTCCTTAACCAGGTTTTTGGGGAGGGAAACTGGCTGTGCTGGTGGGGGGATGCCCAGCTCTGGCCCAGAGGGGTCAGAGGATGGGGTGGGCCCAGCCATGGGGCGACAACCCAAGTTGCACATGGCAGTTCTGACTGCACCACTGGAACCTGTAGGATTTGCATGGAAGCAACGCAGGGCAGGATGGAGGCGAAGTGTGTGTGGGGGATCCAGAGCAGATGGGGGCAGCTCCAGTACTGCCACTGCTTCCAACGAGGGGCCTGGGTCTTTGCACGTCCCCCAGCCCCTCCAAAGGCAGCCCCACACTTAATAATACCAGGGAAAATACTTTAATTCAGACAAGAGTCTTACATTCCTAGTTTACGGCTTAATGCTTAGCGTAGGGGCTCAGAGGGATCACCAGAGCTATTCTCTGCCGTCAACGCGGCTTAACGAGATGCTGAGGGGAAACTGGGATTAGATAAAAAACAAGAAAACCCAATTGGAGCGATCAAACCCCCAAAAAATTGCTGGACTAACAAGCTTTAAGGCTGAACTGGGAGAAACAGCTGGTGCTGTCCTGTAAGTGGCTGTATCATCCTCTCGCATGGTTTGTGGCTACCTCCATCGGAATTGCCTCCATAATCCCAGGCAGGCCTACCTGCCGGCAGCCAGGGGCATCCGGCACCGCTGCCCCCTTGTTTTCCTGGGAATTGTGGCCGTCCAAAGCAGGCTCACCAATTATTTTTAAGATGTTTCAGTTTTCCATACTGCTACGTTGAGGAAATTGCAGTGTTGGTGAGCTCCATCACAGCCCTTCCTGAAAGGTGCTGCAAGACCTTTCTCTGGAGAACCCAGTTTGCTGCTTTGTGGTTGTACAGGGAGGAGAGGTTAAGCCTCACCTGCAGCTGCTTTTTCATGCTCTGGAAGGGAGAGGCGCAACCGTCTCCGGATTTTTAATGATAATTTTGTGCTGGTGGCTTTGTCCTAAAGGAAAACAGAGCTGCAACCTTTTGTTTCAGCTGCATGGAATGATGCTGGGGTCTGAGCTGGAATCTGCCGGGTGTGTGTTTGGAAGGCACCGATAAATCCCAGCAGTCCTTCAGTCGAGGATAAAGCTTGGGCAGGGAATAATTGCAGTCTCCCACGTTCAAGGCGGTCAGGAGGGGCTGTGGGGGGTTTCTGTGTGCTCCCAACGTGGGTGCTGTCTCCTCCTGGCACCCAGCCCTTGCCTGAGAGGTTTGTGGGAGGACAGACAGAAGTCTGGACAAACTACAGGTCTCTGAGGGCTGGGTGTTGCAGGGCTGGCCCTGTGCTCGGCCACGCACATGCCCCCACCCTACCCCGTCCTCACCCTCTACAGGGCAGTGTTTTTTGGGAGAACATGGGGAGCATCCCCACACTGGGGTGGCAAAGCAGCAGTTTCCATGTTTTCTGAGAACCTACCAGAAGGAAAGAGGTTTTTCTTCCATCTTGTCAGGCCAGCCCGCCTTCCCGGTGCTTGGGGACTGATATCATGTGTTTGTGATTTCAGGAGGAGGGAAGAGGATCAGTGTGGGGAAAGGGCACAGTGTTTGTGGCAAAATGGTCCCCCTGGGACTCTCAAACCCTCTGAGGAGGAAGGGATGCTGTGCTGGGGATGCACAGCAAAGCGATGGGACCTGCGGACACCCCAACAGGCTCCTCCACACCAGGTTCCCCCATCCCAGTTGGGCCAGAACCCAGCTGGAATGTCACTTCCACCAACTCAGCTCCAAGCACCCAGAAGCCATATCCCTTTCCTGGTTGCCTGGCTCCACTGTGGGTAAAAAACACCAGAGTTGGGTATCTTCAGCCTTTTGGGCACCAAACCTCACTGAACTTTGTGTGTTTGGGTCCCTGAGGCCGCTGAGTGCGGGAGCAGTGCTGGGTGGCACCGGGGAGGCAACTGTTGGGAAGGATGTTTCTCATTAATCCCTTCAAGTTATTACCTCCATCAAACTGAAGTATCCAAGAATCCTCGCCCCAGCATCTGTCACTTGCCACCCACAGATAAATATTCATCCCTTGCACATTATTTTTTTTTAGCTCCTCAGCCATGGCTGAGGGGCTGGGTCCCCAAATGCGCAGCGAGGCTCGGGAAGCGAGATGCCCCAGAATCCATGGATTCACTCCAATTTTACCATTCCCTCGCACAACAGCGGGTAAGGGCACATCTCCAGCGCTATCTTGGGGAGCAATATTTTTGATGGGCACGAGCTGAGGTGTTGGGCGGAGGGGACGGCACGCGGTGGCCTGGCCACGTTGCCATCCCCCCCATCCCCTGGGTGCCGTCCCCCACCCCACTGGGCGCCTGCACTGCCCCACACACCCCCAGGGGGAGGCAGCGCTTCCCCCAGGCACAGCTTGCAGCTCTCACACCTCCCACGCCACACGCCGGGCACACACACGCCTCTCCTCCCCACGCCACGCCACCGCCTCGCCCCCCGCTCCCCTTCCCACACACACGTGGTCGGCCCCCGGTGCTCCCTGACCCCTGCACGCGCCAGGAGAATGCAAACCGTGTTCCCTGAGCTGTGTGGGTTTGTGTCCATCAACACAGACCTACTGCAGAGCCCTCATAAGCAAACAGAGCCTCGCTGCTCTCCCAGAAGCCCAGGCTCTGCTGAACCTTCCCCGGCACGCCTGACCCACGGCCCCGCACCTGTGGCACCGTCCTGTTGTTCCCTGTACACACTCACCCCCTCAGACCTCCCCAAACCACAACACTGCTGACATGTCCTTATATTTTTGCCAAAAAAATCCCTGCTACCTCCTGCCCCCCTCCAGAAGCACCCTGATATTACATAAACCAGGCTCCCGAGGACTGCTTCAGTCGGATGCTGGAGTTGCACCGCTCGTTTCCTGGGTCTGATTCATCCCAGCTCCAGGGTGGGAGCAGGATTGCTCCCTTGCTTCAGGTGAAAGGGGCTGCATCCACCTGGATCATCCCTGGATCAGATGTGAGCTGGAGCTGCTCCCAGAACAGCTGGTGGAACCTGTCCAGGGCAGAGGGTTGGAGACCCTCTTTTGAGCAGGTCTGGAGATCTGGTACTTTCTGTACCTCCTTGGACACTTTGGGAATGCTCAGTAATTTCACCCTGGGGACAGTTAGAGTTGTAGCTACAGGCTTCCCATGGGAATCCTCGGGCTCTGCATTGGGTTTGGGTTTAGCTGCTGAAACCGTGGTTGTGGGGGTGGATGAAGGAAGAAGCCCCAAATCAGTGTTTTGCCCTTTCCATCCCTGCCAACGCAGTTTTCCTCCTCCCTCCACCTCTTCCCAGTGGAGCATCTGGGATCCAAGACTGGGCAGGGCCTCGGGGAGGGGACCAACCCCATTCCAGGTGCTCAGTGCCCAGCAGCCCCGAGGGAATGTCTCACAGACTGGAGGTGTCTGCTGCGAACCAGGGCCCTGCCGGATCTCCTGCTGCCACCCCTCCCCCAGTCTGAATCTCCCATGCTCCCCAAATCCTTGTTCCTCGGGAGGGCTACCCCGAAAGGGCCGGGTGGTCACACTGTGGTGTTCATCTTGTGTAATGCTCTGTGCCCACTCACCTCAGTGAATCATCCCTTTGATAGGTGAGGGAAATGTAATTAGTGTTTGCATTGTTAGCGTCGCCTGAGTAGGCAAGTGGGTTTTCTTGGCCTTGGCTGGGAAATTTTCCTGCACTGGGGAGAGGGAAGGGGAGCAGTGGGAGCCACTGGGTGGGTCCCTCCCAGCCTGTCTCGCCCGGGCAGGAGCTGTGGTGGCTCCATGTCCCACTTTCCCACCTCTGCAGCGGCACCAGTGACACCTCTCTTGGCAGGTGCACCAGGAGCTACCAACCAAATGGCTTTGGGATGGTTGAGGAGGTGGAAAACCTGAAACACTTTGCAAAAGCAGATCCCTTGCCAGTGTAAAGGGCTGCTCCGGGGGGATGAACTGGGAATGCTGTGTCTGGGAAGGGGCCGCAGCCCCTCACCCGAGCTGAGATGTGGTTTGGGAGGAACCACCCCCAGCCAGTGCTGCAGGGTTGGAACAAGATGATCTTTAAGGTCCCTTCCAACCCAAACCAGTCTGGGATTCCATGATCCAGTGCTACCATGGCAGCGGCCTCGTGCCTCTCACCATACCAGCGTTTTCCTGGATTCCTGTGTAGGGAACCAACAAGCGAGGGCAAATTTCCATAAGGATCTATTCATAGCACGGATGTCAGAATTACCTTAAAAGTACCAGCTCTTCTCTTGTTTTGCTGTCAGGAAGGAATTGTTGATGCACTTCAAATAGTGGGCGGAAACAAGCAAATACAAATGCGCCCTGATCCTCGATCCCAGTTCCTGCAGGATCCAGACACAGCCATAGCTGGTCCTATCAAAACCCTCAGAACCTGAAAATTAATTAAAAAAACTCAGAACTTTGTTGGTGAAGCATCTGGCTGTCTAGATTCGGTACAGAAGCTGCCCACAGTGGTTCTAGGAGGGCAAATCCGGAGACATCAAGACCTGCCGAGCACAGAAAAATGAATCAAAATACTAAATGAAGATTCTGACCAGCCTCATTAAAAAGAAATGATATGAACTCATGGTAATTACTTATCTCACTGGAACATGCTGCTTAGTTTCAGGTACAGCTCAGGACAGAGGAAGAAGGATTTTGACCCTGGGGAAAAGTACATGAGATAGAAACTGCCAGACAGGCTTCAGACCCTCACTCCATCTTCCCGAGTATTTTATTCAGCACCTGCGGATGGTGAAGGACCCCAACTTTGAGAACCCCCTCAGACACCTCTCC